CAAGTCAAAATTCACTTAAGAGTGTGTGTGTGTGTGTGTGTGTGTGTGTGTGTGTGTGTGCGCGCGCGCGCGTGCGTGTAAGAGAGAAGGGGAGGGGGAGAGTGGGAGGGAGGGAAGGAGAGAGGGAGGGAGCAAAGGAGGAAGGGAGGGTGAAGGGGAAGAGAGAGACAGAGTCAGCAACTTTTAAATCTAAAATGCTGATACTGTATAACTGGATCCATCAGCGCCATCTAGTGGAAGTCTTTATGTCTTAAGGGACCAATCTGGTTCCTTTGGAATGACTGTTCCTACTTGAGAGGCCCTCTTGCTTCTCTTGTGAGCAACTGCTCCCAATTATGGACTGATCTCACTATGGGGTGGTCCACAAGGTTCTGCTGTTGCTGTAATCCAGGGTGATATCAGGCTCTGTACGTGATGGAGAAGTACCTTTCAGGAGGCAGGAATAAGGTGAAAAAGCTGACCAGCGGAAGTGTCAGTTATTCTTCATGTCTTTCATTAAAAGGGTCAAGGATGGCAGATTAAGAACTGAAAATGTTCAAAACAACTCTGAGATTCTATCTTACAATAGAACCTGCAAGAATTGCCAAGAACAAAACACTAATGACAACCTATGCTGGAGAGGTTGTGGGGTAAAGGGAACATTGCTACATTGCTGGTGGGAGTGCAAGATGGTACAGCCACTTTGAATATCTGTGTGGAGATTTCTGAGAAAATTAGAAAACAACCTTCCTCAAGACCTAGTAATACCACTTTTGGGTCTATATCCAAAGGATGCTCAATTGTGCCACAAGGACATGTGCTCAACTATGTTCATAGCAGCATTATTTGTCATAGACAGAACCTGGAAACAACCTAAATGTCCCTAAACAGAAGAATGGATAAGGAAAATGTGGTACATTTACACGATGGAGTACTACAAAGCAGAAAAAAATAACAACATCTTGAAATTTGCAAGCAAATAAATAGAGCTAGAAAACATCATATTGAGTGAAGTAGCTGAGAACCAGAAAGAAAATTTTCATATGTTCTCACTCATAGGTGGTTTTTAAAACATAGAGCAGAGAAATCCAGCCTACAAATCACAATCCAGAGAACCTAGACAAAAATGAGGACCCTAAGAGAGACTTACATAGAACTAATCGACATGGTAAATAGAAAAAGACAAGATCTCCTGAGTAAATTGGGAGCATGAGGACCTTGAGAGAGGGTTGAAAGGGAGGGGAAAACCAAGTAAGGAAGCAAAGAAAAATGTAGAGCTCAATAAAAATCAACAAAAATTAAAAAAGAACTGAAAATGTGTACCACTAGTTCTGAGACTCGCAAATGTGACACGCTGAACTGAGCAAGGATATGACCAGCAGACCTGATATCAGGGACACAGAGGCCAACAGAAGAGAAAGCCCAGGTTTATGCTGCTTTTATCTGTGAACTGGGTGTCTGCCAGCTCTGTGAGGTGGCTTTACAAAGTACTGGGGCTCAGCATGATACAAACAAGAGGCTGCTTTCCAGCTTCCAGGCAGATGGTGCAAATGCAGAGACAGACAGACTTCTGGGGTCAGGAGAGGAGAGGAAGGCTAGTTAGCTGAAGAGTCACAAAAGGGACTACAGTGTCTTGTGAGCATGTGCACAGCAGAGATGGGGAGAAGCCAGAGCAGGTGCAGTATTGTCTACCGAAGAACAGAGGATCATCCCATGTCTTCACAGACCCGAGGCTGCTGGTCAGGGGATACTCAGAGGCGGGCATGGTAGCCGCAGAGAATGGGTAGGGGATTCTGCTGTATCGTAGTTAGGGTTTCTAGTGCTGTAAAGAGAAACTATGGGAAACATGGTACCAGGCAGGCAGACATGATGCTGGAGAGGGGCTGAGAGTCCTACATCCAGAGCAACAGATACACTGAAGAAAATGTTACACTGGGTATGATTTGAGCATCTGAGACCTCAAGCCCATCCTCAGTGACAAACTTTCTCCAGCAAGGCCACGCCTACTCCAACAAGGCCTCACCTCCTGGTAGTGTCACTCCCTCTGAGCCTTTGGGAACCATTTTCCTTCAAACACCAACGTGGTGTCAGACATGGGTTTGTTAGTGTGGGGCAATAGCTACAGGCACCAAGGGAGCTTCCCAACTGTGTGCTTCATGTATCATTGATTAGAAGGGTGGGACCGGAGCTGGGAAAATGCCAACCCTTTATTGCAGGAACACACCCAAGAAGGAGTCAGGTGACAAATAGGTTCCTGATTGCCACTACCCTGTTGCAAAGAAGAAGTGGCAACTACCAGAGAAAATTGCAGGCAGAGAAACTCCTTCCTTGATCCTTAGGCCACAAAAGCAAATTGCTTCTTGGCATGATGGTCTCTGATGTGCGCCATAGTGTTTCACTGTTCATCAGGAACCAATGGAGGGAGCTTCTTTGTTTTTGCCAAACCTCACACAGAGTATCGTGTGTCCCGTCCACAGTTCCTTGTAGAAACGCTCCTTCTGTAACTCTGTCAAACGACTGCTCTCACAATTCTCTCATATGCTCTGTGTCAACTGAATTTGCTCCCAAAGATGGCCACAGCCCTTAGTTAGGTCCCCAGTACAGGACCATCTGCAGAGCACACTCGGTTCAAACCAGTCTCACTGATGCATACCTTACAGAACGTTGAGATATTTTTAATTGGTAGGTTTTATGATCGGCTGAGTTCTAGTCCATAAATAAGCATACATCTAACCCAGACACAATTTGCTTTATCTTTAGATGGTGGGAGAGACTTTGAAGAAGCAGATAAGGACCCTGAGATGGCAACACTGCCCTGTATTACATGGGCCAGCTACCAGGGTCCTCAGAGGAGAAGGAATGGGCACCAGAGGAAGAGGCTGTGAGCCAGACTCAGAGTGGAGGGTGTGTGTAGAAGATGCAGGTGATCCCTGACCACCGCACAGACAGGAAATGGGTCTCCGCGTGATCCACCACAGTGAAATCAGCTCTGCAGACACCTGAACTTTAGTTCAGGTAAACTCGGTTCAGACTCCTCCAGAACTGTGGCTTTGTGCTGTTTCAAGCCACCGGTTTTACTGTGATTTGTTATGGCTGCAATAGAAATCCAAAACCGTCAACAAAATATAAACAAAACATGCTTTTTCTAGATTTTAGTGTAGAAGTCGAGCACACCCCACAGTAGTATAGGAGTTGAGCTCACTCCACATAGTGTAGGAGTCGAAGGCACACCAAAGCACTGTAGGAATCAAGGGCACCCCACAGCAGTGTAGAGTCCAGTGCACCCGCAGTGGCGTAGGAATTAAGCACACCCCACAGCAGTGTTCACCTGAGGGTAGAGGCTAAGACAAGCTTACCCCTTACCTGGGCCAGAACCCAGTGAGTGTGTTTGTTCTACATGCCCCCTGGTTTAATCAAGCTAACAGAAATTCCAGCTTCCTGGCAAAGGACAAGAGTAACCCATAGATTCCTAGGGACATTTAGTGACTGCGGTTCCAGATGGGACCCACTATCTCTGGGCATTCCATTGAAATTCAAGTGGGTCAGTCAAACCATCTATGGATATAACCTTTCTGCCCACACCATGGTTCACACAATGGACCTTGCTAGTTAAAACAAGTGTACATTCTCCAAACAGAAGTCTAAGCGCTGTTCTTTTCTCATATTCAGACACAGCCCCTTCTGGGGCATAAAATCCACCCCACGAAGATGGGGAGCGTGGACTACAGAGGACTGTAGACTGAGTTTGGAGAAGGCTTGAAGCTGTTACCAGGGAGGAAAGGGAAAGTCTACAGCAGGGGAAATCACAGCAGGGGCTGGTGGATGCAGAGAGACAGTTTTCACATACCAAGTGGCCATTGTGCATGCTTCTCCTTCCTGAAACCTTGGGAGATGTGCTGAACCCTGTTGGAAACCGAATCTGAGAGCTGAGGGTCCATCTGTGCAGGGTTATTCTGTTGGAGGTCAGCGCCACAAGAACATGGTAAAGTTTGGTTTCCTTGCAAGCTTTCTTTCTCCTGAAGTCCCCTTGCCTCGCTGGCACACAGGAAGGGCAGTGGGAGCTGGCAAGGGCACAAACCTTGACCCGAGAGGGGACACCTTTCAGAGATCTTGGAGAAAATATCTTCATAATTTAAAGCGAGTATTTATAACTTCCTTAGCAGACAGCCACTGCCTGTACCCTGGAGCCAATCTCTCTAAGATGCAGAAATATGCAGAATAGATGGAGATGATTCCTCGCTCAGGGTTCTGAGGTGAGAGAGTTTCAGGGGTGCCTGGAACTTCCTCTTTTATTTATATCTTATTTTATTTTTTTTTCTCTGTAGCTTCGGGCCCTGTCCTGTAACTAGCTCTCGTAGACCAGACTGGCCTCGAACTAATCGAGATCCACATGCCTCTGTCTCTGAAGTGTAGGGATTGAAGAAGTGCACCACCGTCCAGTAATATCTCATTTTTATTTTATTCTAGTTTTTTTTTAAACAAGGTCTTGCTGTATAGTCTGACCTGCCAGGAAATCACTATAAAGAACACGGTGTCCTCCTACATGCAATAATCCTACTGCCTAAACCTCCTGAGTGCTATGAACTTCAACCTCCTGAGTGCTTATGTATCACTATATCTAGCTAAAAATTTTTTGTGCTGTGTTATGATAAACTGTGGGAAATGGTCCTCCAAAGCCCTGAATTATCCATCCAAATTTATTTTCTTAGCAAGAGTCAATTACAAATATGGATAGAAAATAATAATAAGACATGATTATCATGAATAATCAGATATACAGAATGTAAGGCTCAAGGAATGACTGGAGACAACAGTAGGACTAAAGAGAATTTCATGAATGTCATCTCAAACATCTTGGACACGCTATGAAGAGTAAAAGAAGGAGTCATTTCAAAAGGGATCACAGGGGACTGGAGAGATGGCTCTGTAATTAAAATCGTGTTCTTACAGAGAACCAGCATTCAGTTCCTGGCACCCACATCGGGCATCTCACAACACCTGTAACTCCAGCTGAAGGAGATCTGACACCCTCTTCTGGTCTCCACCAGCAACATGCATGCACACACACACATGTGCATACATGCACACACACACATGTACACACACACACAAATTTTGAAATTCAGTAAAATTGAAAATTACCAGCTTTTCATTTCCCCACATTGAAGGATGCCCTCCAAACATGTGTGCAGAACTGTGGGATCTCCTGAGCCTGAATGGTCAAAGCAAGACTTTCAGCAGGAGGAGAACAATCAGCATTGGTACTGTTGAGATGGATGCAGGTCGAAGGCCAGTGCTATCTGGAACTGATGAGTTGGTTGGAAACACAGCGAACTCACTTGAGCAGAAGGTGAGGATATCTGTGCTGTTGAGAACAGTCATACTCTTGTTGCAGACGCTTTCTGTTGCACAGCCCATTCCAGCCATGACAAAGGCGAAGGGATGACTGCTTCCCACTGCTAAGAAAAAGACTCAAGAGTTAGTCTCCCCTCGTCTCTTCTGCCCTCCTCACCCACAACCATTGGGAAAGGAAACTGTGCTCAGAATGATCCAGAGTTCACAACTTCTACCTCTTGACTAAATGCATGAGTCCCGCTTCAATCCATCCATACACAGGCCCAGCCTTACTGTCCTCTGGTCCCATTGTTTCCCCAGTACAGAAGGAACCATTTAGAGACTGTTGCATCTCAGACACAAGGCTAATACTGGGCCCTCTGCGTGCCCACTCATGAGAAGAGATGAGTTTGTTGCACATGGAAGAAGGTCAGTGCAGGGTATCAATTATTGGGTAAAAGCCTTCTAAAGTACCTGTCTTCTCTACCCAGGCTCCCTTGAAGAAAATATTGTGATTCCCACCAAAACTGACATCCCTTCTTTGAAGGCACAGGGCTCTCTATGAAAATAATTATGGAACACACTGGATGCCTGTTTCCTGGGGTACACTGAGGTAGAAGTCTGTCCCACTGAGGATGGTTTCAACCGTCCTCTGTATTCTGTGACACCCCATTTTTTTATTCATCTCAACTCGTCCAGACACAGGGCCCTTCCCTTGCTCTCCTCCAGACCTCTGTAAAATTCCTTCCATATGAAAACACAGCTTGTCTCCAGACCCGTCAGACTCTCAGTCTGCCGCATAACCCAGCCTAAAATACCACTAATTCCACACTACCTTTCACGTTCTTATGAGGAGCTGCTAGCTCATTCCCATAGCATACAGTCCAGAAGAAAAACCCTACAGTTATTTTTGAAGTTAATCCCTGAAACGCACCTGTGTCCCTCACAACAAATATGTACTTTTCTCTTGCATAGGAAATTATAAATATTTCACTAAAATCAGTGACTTTATCAAAACCTGAGAGCTTATGGATAGGGTCTGAGTCATGACATTAATGATAGCTTCTGGAACTCAAGTGACGTCACTCTGTGCACTTCTGAGTCAAGATCCTATTTCAGAATATCACAGCAACACAGATGCCCAAACTTGACTCTTCCATGGGAAGCAGTTTATTCCCCCCTGCTCCCCTTAGCTCCCATCCCCTATCTCAACGCTTCTTCTGTCACCTCTTTTCTTGGTTCAATCTAAGTTTAGAGGGACAACCCATTGTCCCCCTGCTGCCCTTGCTCTACAGGAGTAACAGTTTCTAAGATATTCTGCCCCCATCACGCCCAACTCCTGGCAGAGGTGCCCAGGCGTTGAATCCTATGTCCCATCTGGGTTCATCTATGTGACTAACAGGGCACAAACTGAAATGGTATGCCATTTCTAAGATGAAGGTTTGAAAAATCTCTGCTCCACTAATTACCCTAGGTCTGTCTCCCATTACTTCTCCCCAGGTCTGTCTCCCATCACTTCTCTGAGGGGGAAACAAGAAGATGTGCTAGGAAAACCCTGGCAACCTACGAAGAGGCCATGGGAAGAGAAAGTGAGACCTGCTAAATGCCAAGAATGAGCTGGGAAGCAGATTCTTTATCTGAAGAACCACAAGACACCCTGGGCATCTGAAGGATCACAGTTGATACCAACAGCAGAATTCACCATGACAAGACACCCTAAGATAGTCACACAGCAATGCTGTTCTCAGTGCACAGACTTTCAGATACTAACTGGTGATAAATAGTTATTGCTTTCACCTGCTAGGTGTGGCATAGGTAGTAATAAATGGCTGATACGCTGTGCCCTTAACAATATGAACATCCTTGCAGAAACAATCATACCTGTGCCAATAACCGCAACACAGTTCGTCTCATTTCCCATGCAGTTGAGGACACTTAGGATGCCCTGAGTGCCTGGCTCCTCATAGAAGGCAAGACATTGAACACCATTGGCTTCTTCTTGAGATACTGAATGGAGAAGAAATGGTTTTTTTCTGGAGGAATGGGCAGGAAACAACAGCTGACAATGTCACTACCTCACCCAATACAAAACCATATAATTCTTTCATGTTTAAGCAATATATATATATATATATATATATATATATATATATATATACAACTAAAATGCCATAGGAAGAGGGAACAAGACACAGGTATCGGAGATCCTGTGGTGATGGTTGTGGACCCATCTACACCTCTCTTCTGTCTCGCCTCTCTACATGGCAGGAGAAAAATTCCTAGATATTGGGAAATGAGATAATCTGACATCTAAAACTATGCTGACAAAAGGGTGAGGAATTAGTGCCAGCGTGACGTGTGTGTGTGTGTGTGTGTGTGTGTGTGTGTGTGTGTGTGTGTGTACTTGTTCCTAGATACTTCTGCTTAGGAGACTAAGGATGGAGAATTACTTGGGTAGAGGAATTCAAAACAAGCATGGCAAACACAGAAAGATTCCATGTTCACAACAAAAACAATGATGAGGGACTAAATAGGTGAGAAAAAATCTCTCAGCTGAAGAGTCGGGGCAGAGGAGATATTTAAATCAATAGCCTTAGAGAAACGAGAGAGTACCAATCCATGGCAATCAACTGTCAATCATTCTCCCACCCAGGCAAGAGGTTTGTACCCACCCTTTCGATTCTCAAGGACGGGGCCACAGGCAAAAGGAAAGAGACGCACTCAGCTCTGGCACAGCCCAGTGCAGGGAGGGACCCACAGATAGCCAGAGAAACCATGGTGCCGGTATCCAGGGTACAGAAATGAGCTTTACTAACATTGTGCCCTAATGATTGAGCTTATCAGTATTATCGCAATATAGATATTATCAGTTGTTATATCTAAATGTCTGTTGGTCCCCAGCGTTGCCTATATAGTTGCTCACACACACTGTACTCCCAGCTGCTCCAAATATGGAGCCTGGGGAAGGAGGATTGCTTGATCTCAGTAATATAATGCAAGCCTGGATATATGCAAGACTCCATCTCAACAATACAAAAATCCAGGATGAGGAATAAAAAAGGTAAGGAAAGTCTCTCAACTGGAGGAGCAGAGAAATGCATTTAAACATATTGAGTCATTGAACCAACTTAGAGAATAGACCCAGGACCAATTATTGCTGCCCGGCTGTCACCCAGTCTGTGTATACAACTGTGTGCACACATACCCAAGAGAGGGGTGTGTATTCAACTCAGACCATTTACAAAGGAAGGCTTCAAACAAAAAGGGAAGGCAAGTGTCCCATGATGGAAGGCTGCAGCCCATCAGCAGAGAGATACACCCAGGGAAAGGCAGAAGAGCCCCAAGCAGGTGGTGGGGCACAGGCCGGAGCTGTACTCACGTGTTAAGTCACCTTCGTTGCAGTTATCAGATGTGCAGCAACGGTTCACAAAGCTAAATCTCCGTTGATCCCCCAGTGTGGCTGAGAATTCCAGTTCACTGCATGGGTCTCTAGAACAACCTTTTTGCTTAAACATCTGGTTTGTAGCAGAAGCTGCACAAAATTGAACCACTAAGTAAATTTTCCTCCTGAGTTAGTGGTAAAGAACCTGTCCCTTCATGCCCTCTGCCTTGAGTACTGCTCTTCTCCAAGAGTCCCTCCATCCACAATGGTCTGTTTCAGAGAACGAACCAACAGAGGGACCATTTGTTACTAAGGGGGTGACTGGTGGTAGAGTACATGCTTAGAATGCGTGATGCCCTGAGCTTGATCCCCAATAGTGTGAAAGTAAGAAAGGAGTCACACCCGAGTGGTCCTCATTATGTAAAACCCAGGTCCTACAACAAGCACATGCTCCATCTCCACTGCCTCCCAGAACCCCAGGTCCCAGTCTCATCCTGGAAAGGAAGCAAGGATAAACTGGAGGACACTCGAGGTGTGAGGGTTGGCTTACACGGTGTGTCAAATCTCTGTATTTCAGTGAAGCAGCCTTTAGTGGTTTCACAAACACTTGCACTTTCAGGACACGTTGTACCTTCACATTGTTGTACTGCACATTGGTAACTCTCTGCAAGAAGGAAATACACATCACTTAAAAGGTAATCGGAGTCATGCAGTTAACATTTCCTAGGACAAGAAGCTGTGAGGAGCTAGACAGACCACTGGAGTCTCATCTGGCGGGTTACTTCCTCAAGGCTCTTGACTGCTCGCCTGACCTCTCCCTTCTTCAGGAGAAAGAAATGCCAAGTTTAGTCTTACCCACAGAGGTGACAGCCAAGGTGGTAAAGACAAAGACTGTGAGGACGCTCTTCAGGCTGGAGGACCAGGCCATGGTGACTCCTGTGAACACTGAATGAGATGCAAGAGAGGACAATGGGGTCAGAGCTACGGGGCTCAGACCTGTCATCCAGCAACCCGCACACCCGACTGTGTTGTTTATCTATATATCCATTCATTCAGTCATTTCTTTGTTCATCCACTTATTCTTTCTGGAAGCCAAAATTAACAAACACTGGCTTTATGCTACATGTGGCCATTTGGAAGGATACAAAACTGGAAAAGATACCATATCCTCTACCAAGGCATGGGAAAGAGAAAGGGTCTTCCCAGGGAAGAAATTTCACTTTTCTTGCACGGGTGTGGAGGGCGCTAGATCTCCCTCCACAGTTGACTTGGTTGAGTCAAGAATGGCTCCGTTGTGGAGCAGGTGCAGGCTTTCTATGTGGTAGAAGGTTTTGGGCCATGGTGCTCAAAAACAATCAGCCCCTCAGCTAAGGACATGGATTCACCACGTCCAAAGTCACCTTTCCCCGACCAGCTAGCCTCCCTCACCAGGCATCACAGCCCACACTGGAAATGCTCACCAAGAAGGAGCCTGCTCTTCTGAAAGGACTGTTGAGATGGAGAGGAAGGCAGTGATCTCACCAGAGAGGGGAGGAAAGAAATACTCACTCTGTCCTCACTATCACTGACTTTTATAGCCCAGATGATTATTGCCTAGCCATTAAGGCACAGTAAAGAGTATCTTGACATGAAGCCAAATGCACTATACTTCCTGATCTTCTAGATAGACAAAAAGATACTGTGAGAACAGCTCTTCCTGGTCTCTGTCTGGTGGGGACAGGGAGGAGGCTATGAGAGTCCTGGGCCTCCAATGAGCTGCAGAAGAGGAAGAGGCTTGGATGGTCCTGGACCTCCACTGAATTACAGAAGAGACCCTAGGCATTTTAAAGTTGCAGCATGCTGGATCTTGGCCCCACACCATCCCCCACTTTTCCTCATTCCACCATTCCCTCTCACAGACTCCCTTCTTCCTACCCAGAACCAGACCTTAGGACACAAAAGCTTCTCTGCTGGAGAGGAACTGGGTATGTCCCTCTACAACATATTCTTTGTCATTCTTCCTGGTTTTATGCCAAACTCTTGCTGGCTTTTACCAGCCTACCTGATTGCAAGAAGAGATAAATAAGAAGAGTCACAATTCATCTGACCTTCTGCAATTGTCCAGATCTTGATTGCATTTTTTCAACATCCAGGACTGTGTGGCAGGCATGGAGATCAGGGAGATCCCACCTAGGAACCCACTACGTTGAGTGTTGAAAAATGCTGGGGCTACCGGAAAGGGACAACATGGTTGTCCAGACTCCCTGAGGCTAGGGTGTGGACGTATGGAATGAGTCATTTTGACAGGAGCAGCTAGGGTGGGGAGGTATAGGAGGAGACATTTTGCCAGACAAAGAGATCAGCAGAGCCTTGACTGTAACTTCTACAGGGACGTGGAAGCCTAGGGGAGAGGAGAGATGAGCTTTGTCCTTGGGGATCAAGCATGTTATCCACCATGCCTAAGAAAGAAAGAGAGAGATGGAGGCAGAACACAAATATAGCAGGGCAATGAGGACAGTGGCAGGGCATCAGTCAGTACCCTGACCTAACAAGTGACACCAGCAAGGACCACGGCAATCAATGGTTTATATTCTTCAGGCCTTCAGATGCCTAAGATGGTGGCCCATCTGTCCAAAATATCCATTGAACAACACATCTGGGCATTCACTCAGGCAAGCAAGGACCACTTGCTCTTCTCAGCAAACTCCCATATTAGGATTACCCCAATAACCTGGACTCTAAATGCCCTGGCTGTCTGGCATGATCTTACATGATCACACATAGATACTCCCATTCAACCTGTTTAATGGGCTGTGGGAAGGTTTGATCTCCAGTCCATACAATGATAGCCCGTGCTATGTTGGCTGGTGCCTCAGTTTAAGCCCATGCACACCAAGGAGCCTCTCTACCTCCCAAACTGGTCCTCTTTCTACATCTAACCAACCATCGAGGAGTGGACAACAATACCAGCATTTTCACATCTAAGCAATTTGTCTACACATGGCCAGGTCAGGAAGCATCAACTCATCCATCTGGAAGCTTAGGCTTTGTGTGCATTGGCTAGCAGAATACTTCAGTCAAACTTGGGAGGGGGGATAACATAATGGTGCACACCTTTAATGCCCAGCACTCAGGATGCAGAGGCAGGCAGATCCTTGTGAATTCCAGATCCCCTGGTCTACATAAAGACTTCCAGGTCAGGCAGAGCTACATAATAAAACCTATCTTAGAGAAAGAGAGAGAGAGAGAGAGAGAGAGAGAGAGAGAGAGAGAGAGAAACTTCAACTTTCATAAAAAGATAATCATTTCTACTGGTGTTTTCTGGACTTTCGATCTCAACACTTATTCTTTGTGTAACAGCTAGAACTTCACGGACCTCAGCCCACTGTTTACAGAACCGCCGGGTCCCAGACAGTAAAGAGGGGATGTCTCACAGCCAACTCAAGTTCTGGTCTCAGCTACATCCATAAAGTAGAAGAACAAATAATGCAAAATCGGCTCGCATGCTTCATCTCCAGATGCTGGCACATTCTCTTCTTTTTATAGAAATATCCATTTGAGTGCCTTGTGACCTTTCCTCTACTTACATCACCACCCTGGTGTCAGGAAACAGGCAAAAACTCTCCAGCTCTTCCTCAATTACAGGTTCTAACCCAAGGGTAATATCCTAGTTTTGAACTTTCGAACCTTCTGACCCTCCCCGATCTGTGGGCAGGGCATGGTCACCAGCCCAGGGGCTTATGTGAGTAAACTAACAGAAGACAAAGACTGAGTTAAGCTTGTTGTTAGCAGCAAAACGAGTCTCCAAAATTAACACATAGAAGACAGAATCCCTGCACCTCAGAATGTAACTTTATTTAAAAGCACAATCTTCCTAGAAAGGGGTCAAGACAAGGTCATTCCTGTGGGCCCTTAATCCAACTAGAGGTCAGGACTCAACATATTGCAAGTACAGGTCATATAAAGACAGGGGAAGATGCTCACTACAGTCTAAGAACAGAGCCTCAGAGAAACCAGACTTGTGGGCCCTGGATGCCACCCTTCCAGCCTCTGGGGTCATAGGAACTGTGTGCTGTGTGTCATCCCGCTGTGGTGCGTTGTTGTGATGGTGCTTTCAAGCTCATGCTTAGGTAGACTAGAAGATGAGTAGAATAGCTTCCAAGAAACTCTGGTTTTCTTAAAGAGAATTCTGGACAAGCTACAGTGTGGGATCCAGAACCACAGGCTAGCTCACAAGGTCTTAATAAATTGCTATTCTATGTCACAAACGGAGTACTCAAACATGACGATCTTTGAGAAGATGACAGTTATGGCCTTGTCAAAGAAACTGGTCTTTTTCAAATCTGGGAGTCAACATTCTCACTCAAAGTGAGTGTGAGTCTCTAAGTCTGTGACACAAGATCTCATCATCCAAACAGCAGAACTCCTGGTGCAGTTTGTCAAAAGCTCTCACATCTGTCCTGCCTCCTCAGGAGTAACCACTGTGAGCTCTGTAAATGATGTCGGTGTTTTGAGCCATGAAATCTCATATGTACTCAAGAAACACACCCAAGGTTTAAGAAACTGGGATGGGAGAAACAGATTGCTTAGCTGAAGAAAAAAAGTCAGACAGGTCTGTACAGCAGCAGCCGCTGCCCCTGGGACTGCACACACCCTAGTTTGATTCACAGTGTCTAGTAGAGACCCGACTGACTTGGCAGATTCCAGCAAGGAAACGTTAAATTATCCAGACAAAGGAACTACATAGAGATGCCATCACGCCCCACTTGAATGCTAGCCATCCAAAAAACAAATAACTAATAATGATTAGCATGTGGACCAAAGGGAATCCTTCTAGAGGGTTGAGGAGAATGTAAGATAGCCTAGTCTCTAGGGAAATCAGTGTAGATCTTTCTCAAAAAACTAAAGCTAGAACTACCATACGGCCCAGCTGTGGCATTCTTGTGGGACCCAGAGGTATCTGTGCATCATGCTCACTGCAGCACTGTTCACAATGGCTAAGTCTAAGAACCAACCTAGATCTCCCAAATCAGAACAAAGGATAAAAAGAACGTGGCCAGAACTTTCTCAGCCATTAAAAAGAATGAAGTTATATTATCCACAAGAAAACAGATTTGCTGGAGATGATCACACTCAATGCAATAGCAGCCTAAGAAAGACAAATATCACGCATTTTCTTCATTGTGGACCAAATATTTTGTAGCTAATTAAAATTGTATATGTACAGTTGACGTGAGAGCAGAAGATAAAGTATGTCGAGGAACAAAGGACCAGTGAGAGAGGGTAGTGTGGTGTGGAGGGAATGCTGAAAGATCATTACATGCTTGCATGGAAATGGCCTGATGTAAGCCTAGAACGTAAGATAAAGCAGATCCAATTATTCAAATATGTTATTAGGATTAAAATGTGACACTTAGATGGGCCTCATGGCATACATCTTTAATCCAAGACAGGAGACTGAAGCAGGGGATTGCCACAAGTTTGAGGAAAAACTACACCACATAGCCAAGTACCAGGGCTGACAGGATTATATAACAAAACCTACCGCGCCTGCACGGTCTGGAACCATGAGTCTCGGCGGAGGGTGACCAGATTGAATGAAATCCAGAGAGTGCGAGGTTGAGATGAAACAGCGTCTTGTTTATTGTTCTGCTGGGGCTAGCTTTTATACCATGGCACCAAATGGAGAGGGGGCTGCGAAGGGACTGTCACCTGACCCAACGAGGAACTCTCACCTGACCCCAGTAGGGGTCAAGGACTGATCACGTGCATTCAACTTTCACCTGTCCCCAGTAGGGACTGTCACCTGACCCCAGCAGGGATCAAGGAATAATCACGTGCACTCAAACTTCCTCATCCAACTCCAGGAGCAGAGGGAAGTTATGATTCTTTGCAGATAAGCACCTCAAATGGAGGCAGGGAAATATAACTCGGGGTAGCAATTCCCACAATTCCCCCAATTTTATTTTATAATGAGGGGTCCTGTCTTAGGTCCTGCGAGGGAAGTACCTTCCCTTACCCGTCATTGGGCCCCCGATATCCTGTCTTAGGTGGGGGGTCTCCCCACAGGTTGCCCATCCTTGGAGACCCTTATTTTTTTAGCATCTGCAGCCATATCTCATGACTTCCGGGAGAGTCATGGGCCAGACTGAGTAACACCTGACAGTGGACAAGCTCAGCCTTGGTGAAGGTGTTTAGAAGACGTTTTAAGAGGAGCAGACCTACTGCCACCCCTACTAGTCCCAAGATCCCCAGGGACAAGGCACCTACCCATCGCTGTGCCCAACCCCCAATCTGGGCCATGGCATTCCATCATCCCTCAGCAGATATAGGTTTAACATGGGTTTTATTAATTGCAATAATCTGATGTATCAAAGAGTGGGTAAAGTTTACAAAAGAATCATTCCAAGGCCCTCTAAGGTAAGCATTAAGGCATTGCACCTCAAAGGACATATTTTTCATTTCTATAAGGGTTACACAGGCAGAATGATAGAAATGAGAACAAGAAGTTTGTTGCATCATCCATAACATATTAATCTGTTCCTGCAATAAGGCTGTTTGTTGATTTAAATTTAACATCCC